GCCGGGGGGGGCGGCGGCAGGGGGCGGGGGGCAGCCGAAGCAGCGTGTCCTTGCCCAGCAGAGCCGCGCTGCGCCGCTTCCCTCCCACCCGCGTGGATGCGCTCTGGAAAGGAGGTGACTTCTGCTGTCGCACACCCTCTATAAACCAGAGTGTTTCTTATTTCAGATATTTAATGCCGGGACTTTAAATTCTCTCTAAAGTTTGTCAGCACTTTACAGCCTTTTGCAACGTGTTTATGGCGTTATTAAAAAAAGAAAGAGAGGGACAGACCCGAGTTTATGGGCTACTGTACAAGAGGATAAAACTGACCTTAGAATTATGAACTGGCTGTGCAGACCCGCCTGCCCCACCGCGCGGTGCCGCTCCGCTGGGGAGACGGAGTCCCGCTGCTGGGAGTGACGGGGAAGAGGGGATGGCCAAGCCCAGAACCAGTTTGTTATTCCAAGTGGTGATGAATAATAAAAGCAGTGAGGACCAGAGGGGGAAAGGCTCCCCTGGCCTCAGCGGTCAGTCGGAGCTGCAGCCCTGGGGCTGTGTGTCTGCAGGGAGTCGGGGGCTGAGGACCTGTGTCCGGTGGGGGCTGTGCCGGGGGTTTGCCGTGCCGGGTGGGCACCACATCCCGGGAACGCCCCGTGGTGGGAGGATGGGTGCTTTGACGCAGCGCTCGCTGCTGTGGTGACACCCAAGCTGCTCTGACCTTCTTTTATTTCAGAGAGATTTGGACATCGGTCGGGGAGCTTTTCGCCCCGGGCAGGAGCCGCTGGCCCCGCTCGGCCGGCCAGAGCAGCCCTGGGGGGCTCCCAGCAAAGGGCAGCAAGAAGCGCAGGTAGTGGGGGGGGAAGACGGGCCTGGGGGGGTGTCGTTGGTGCTCATCACCCCGGTGAAACCCGGGCAGAGGCGGGTGAGTGGCGGCTCAGCCCCCCGTCCCAGCGGAGCCCTGCAGCCCTTGGGAAGAGCCACCCAAAAGATGAGGTTGCTCATGGTCCTCCATGGAGAAGACAAAAGCTCGGCCTCGTCGGCCCCGGGGCGGGATGGGGCGGTGGAGGTGGGATGTGGTGAGGCTGTGCTTGGCTCAGAGCCCCGAGTCACCCTGGGGGCGTGGGGGTGGCACTTAACCGACACTGTGCCTCAGTTTCCCCTCCTTCCCGTGTGTGGGCACCACGGGTACAACAACCATGATGGAGACAGGGTGAGAGCTGGGCTGGCTGAGGAGGGGACCTCTTGGGGACCTCAGCCCAGGTAGGGGGCCTGTATTGGGGTGCTGGGTGCCGAACAGTCCCCCCCAAAGGTGTTCAGTGCTTTGCTGAAAAAGTGAAATCTGCCCCAAAGTAGCCGTCAGTTGGGGAGCAGCGGGTCCTCACACGTGCAGTGACCTGTCCCGGCCACAAATCACCAAACTCATGGGCCTGACACCTGAGAAGCAGAACAGGAGCAGCAGAAATTAAGTGAACGAGACAAGTGTGCGTGCAATTAGGACAGACCTTTTAAACACTGCAAGGAGAGCCGGGACAGGGAGCCTCAGTCTAATTGAGGCAACAGCAGTTCCTTTTTTTAAGACAAGGGAGACTTTTGGGATACTTTGTCCACATAATGTTCCAATTTTAGCTCTGCATCCCGGGATGCAATTGCATTAAAAATACCCGGGGAGGGGGAGGATGCCAAGGGCACCCGGGGACCTGCCTCTGCTGGCGTGTCCCCACCAGCGCTCCGCGTGTCCCGCTGCGTCCCTGAGGCCCCGTTTCACATTCCCGGTGCTGATCGTCTCCCAGATCCGCTTTCCGGCTGCCCCGCTAATGGTTATTCTGGTAAAGGCCCTCTCCTTGGGGTCCCGCAGGGCTCCCAGCCCATCCCAGTGCAATTGGGCATCCATCGCTGCGAGTTTTGGGGAATGACCACAAATGACGCGGTTGGGTCGGACGGGGCAGTTCTGCTGCGTGCGGTGCGCGGCGGCTCCTCCTGCCCCTGCGCCCGTCCCGGCGGGCCAATGCCATGGGTTTCATTTGGAAAAGATCCATCTGATTTTTGTTTTGTGTAAAGAAAATGTAGGGGTTTTTTTTGGAACATTTCAGAGTTGGGATGCACTTGTTTCACTCGTCGTGAGCACAAGGGCTGTGCATTTTCTTTTGTTTTCATCGAAAGGTGAAGCTGGAGCTTTGGGAAAATCCTGAGGTCTCCAGAGTGAGTCCAGGGCTAACAGGTACCGGGGGGGGACGACTGCGTGTGAACTTCAGGCTCCAAAATCCTTCTGCCAAACAGCACATTTACTTATTTTTAATATAAAGTTCATTTTAGGTACGCTGCGTAGTATTTTAACTGGTGAAGCAGGAGTTTAAGGATCTTATTGCTGACATTTTTGGCTAATCGTGCGGTAATTTAGGCTGGAAGGGCATGTCGCTGGCTGGTCCCTTCGTCTGCCCGGCGCACGGGTTGCTTCGAGGTTGGATCTTGTCGCGCAGGTCCCGATCCGTCCCCCTCCCTGCGCCCAAACGACGTTAATTCCTTCAGGAGAGAGGGACAAGCGCTGCAGTGGCCGTGGGGCGGTGAGATGCCCTGGGGTGACACCGGTTTGGCTCCGCTGGGTCACCCTCCATCCCGGCCGGTCTCGGCTTTTGCCTCCGGCGCAATTAACAGCTCGTGGGAAAAAACCTTCCGTTGCTTTTTGCTAAATATGACTCTCCAGGGGGATGCTGCCCGGCCCCTCCCGGCAGCGGGGGACACCACGACGTGACTGGCGCCGCGGCGATGCCCAAACCC